GTGAGACTAAATTCTATACCAAGAGTGCTTGCTGTTGCCAGGGCTCTGATTTGACCAACGTCTTTGACTGAAATTACTCCACTGTCATCTAAGCAGATGAGTCAGATAACCTTTGTCTGAGTCCAGCAAATAGAGTCCTTGCAACTGAAAATGAGATGAGGCATCAGTAATGTTATTATACCAAGCACGTACTTAGCTCCAAAATTGATATTGTAAGTCAAACAGAGTTTCATCAGATTCATTACCAATCCTGTTTTGCTGATTGCTCTTTAACAATCTCTACCCACAGTCCTATTATCTCAATGAAACAGTACACTCTTGTTTGCAAAGCAAGTTCTCTAAATAGTAATTGCTGCAAGAAGTACTGCAGTGCAAGCTGGATCTATGAAGCCATTAATTTAACTAGCTTTGGGGCACAACAAGTGATGTCTTGGTCTGAACTTGACAAGGTGTTTCCCTGATCTGGCCTGGAAGGAGCATGTAAGGATCCTACAAGAAAGAAAAGGATTTAACTGAGTGGAAATGCTGCATCCTTTCTACTCTGAAGTTAATATCACTACTGGTTTCATTCATTCAGCCGCTGCAGCATGTGTGGACTTTTAATATATGGAAAAGTTGAATATTCAGGGAGAAGATACTGCAAACCAAACATGTTTTTAACTCCTGAGACAGAAGCTACTTGATTTGAATTGAATATATATTCAAACTAATGTTGGAATCAACTTTGAGAATTTTTTTGGTGTAACTATGCTAGCATATGGGTCAGCCCGTCTTTCCAGTATTAGATCTCTCCCCAAAAGAAGAAAATACATATCTTCCCCTGCAGCTATCAGCTGATACACAGAGCAGAAGTTCAATTTCTCTTATGCAGAGAAGCCTGAGAACTGCATTTGAGTCTAATGCTGAGAAGGTACAGAAACAGTAATGATATGATGTGATATGGTATGACATACGATATGGAGAGTGATTGACCAAATACAGTGAGCCAGTGTGTATCAGTTTCAGTGTTGGTAGGAAAATAAAAACTGTAGTTATCGATCAGATTTAGGTGACTAGAAATACTCATTTTTAAATTGAATGAATGTGCCCCATGCCTCATGCTCGTTTTCTAAGGGCTACATGCCTACAGCAGCAGACCTACATTGTGATACTCCTGGGAGATAAATCCCAGATAAATCACCTGATGCTCTTTTGCTTCCATATGCCATAGGCAGCATGAGCTCAGCTACCTGAGAGCAACTCACTGTGAGTGCAAGAGCCCTAGAGCTGCATCTGCTTGTTTTCCACTCCTAGTAGTCTGGAGTCTGTGTTTAGAGTCTAAGAGAATGATAACACATCCAAGATGGTCCTCCCATCCAGGTGTTCCACAACACAGTGCATATTACCTAGAATTCTGCAGCGGTGGCTACTCATTTAATCTGGTTTGGAGTATCTCCATGTAGATAATTCACTGAAAAGCTAGATGTCAAATGTCTTTTAGACTAGGACTTCTCAATCAAATAGTCTTTTGATGAGCTTTTATGAGGATGTAGAGATGGAATTTTTGTGGTAGAAGGCTTTGTCTCTTTTTCTCCAAGCACTCTACCTGCTTGGGAGCATTTTTGAATTATGAAAAAATGTTTCTACTGTAGTTGAAGACATCCTGTTGCTGCTGTTAGAATAAGTCAAGCAATTCTGAAATGAAAACTGGTCACACCTGTGTGAACACTAATGCTAAGTTGCATCTTTGGTACACAAGAGTTTGGCAGCTGCCAGCAGTTTCCACGCTAGTCAACTCCTTGCAGCAATAAAACCTGATTGCTGTCTACAGAGATGCCATTTCATCCTTCCCTGCTGTACAGCTGCGTCCCTGCCTCGCTGAGGGCTTTGAGTAATTACAAAATGTGTCTCAGCTATATACAGCTCAGGGCCAGCAAACTCAAGCAGTGACAGTCACCAGCATCAGGATAACCAGAATCCAGACTTGCCATACATTTCCTGTCTTCAATGAAGCACCTTTTTTCCCCCCCCACCCTAAGCAATAGCTTGTTGTTCAACTGCATCAAAGTCCACATCTAACTGATAGTGGGTCCCTTTCCTGAAATCAGTAGAAATCTTGTTATTCAGTTATTTGAAAAGGAACAGAATCAAATCCTTGAAACAGAAAGCATCAAGTTTGTTCATCACTGAGGAAGCCTCAATACTCAGTAAAAAACAATTGGTAAAGTAAGAAGCAGAGAGGTTGTTGAGACAACATTATGTGTAACTATTATGCTCTGCCTTTTCATGGAACTTAGCACTGGATCTCAGTGCATTGGGGTGGTTGTTTATTCTAAATCCCTCTATTTTATATTCCATGTAACTTCAATTTGCCAGTTATAAAAGTGACATAATAGAATTCCCCTATCTCGCTGTACTGCATAATTCAGTACTTTTACAATCTTAAGATGCTCAAATATTGTAGTACTAAGAGCATAATAATTGTTTGCAGTCACAAAGGTAATAGAAGTGAGGATCATTATATAAAATCCACATTTTTATTGTTTGCATGCATGTTACAAAGTTTATGTTAGTCCTCACAGATAGTCATTTATGCGCATAACCCAAATCTAAATTTCCCTGGGTTTGCACTTCCAAGTGGTCAGTGAGAATGGATAATGAGGCTGTTAGGCAAATATGTGAGAATGTGAAGTTTGTGTCAATGCTTAAATTAAATATCTGGTGAAGAAAATACAGCATACTGGAGGACATACTTATACAAAGTAATCCTCAGGGATATGACTGGATTTACTAAAGAAATAAGAACTTCTAGATAAGTTGAAAGTTCTGAGTTTGGTCATGTGACATACTCTTCTTTTTGTCAAAGACATTTCTTTGTCTGTATAGCGTTTTCACAATAATCATTGCTGGGAAACCTGAATGCATTATAAAGAGTGTGCTGAGTAAATTGCATAATTTTTTTCCACATATTTTTTTTATTCTGTCATTACTAAAAATTTATTCCTGCCAAAGGCAGGAGAGACATTGCCACCTAGGTGTTTGTTAATTTTCACCAGTCTGCTTCAGAGCAAGGATTAATTGCTACTTCTTCCTCTGCCTTCTTAAATTTCAGATTTGTCAATGTCATTTTTTTTGTACTTATTCTATGATATGCTACTTATTTACATAAACTACTTTCACCTGATGGGAAAAGGTATGAGCTCAGAGCAAATAATCAGACCCTAAATTTGGTTAATAAAAGAGGAGATAATTGTTGGTGGTATTTCTTTAGAATATCCTGATATTTCACATCAGATTTTTCAAGTGTTTTCCTTAAAACCTGAGTGTCTTTATAATGTTGGAGTGTTGCAAGTTAGGAAGAACTGTCCATTGTCTTTGCTAGAAAAACATATTTCTAAATTAGTTAGTGCTGGCTCGGAATTGTCATTATAAAAGCCAATCATAGGTATTACTTTAGTTTTGCCTTATGAGATGTATCAGTATGTACCAGGCACTTTTTAAAAGCTTTGTAGTGGCGTAGAATTTGGAAACCATACCTGTTTTCACTGAGAAAAGTCAGTGCATTATACATTTCAAAACAGTAAAATATTTGACCCTGAAAAACAGATTCCATAAATAGCTTTTCTAAAAGCCTCTTTCCTGAAGCAAATCTTGCTGAGGAAGAATTGTGGTTGTACTTTCCAGTGGAATGAATGAACATTTCTTCCGTTAGGGAATTTAAGCAAAACTTGTTTCTCTCTTTGTCTCCTTTCAGGCCTGCTAAAAAAATAGCTATGATTTTTCATTGAAGGCTGGTTTGATAATGTTACTTAGCATTACATATATACATATATAATCTGATTAGTCAGAACATATATTTGAAAGCAATTACCATCTCTTCAATTATAACTTTTCTCAGTGGCAAGCATAATTCATTAGATGAACAATTTATTGATGCATAGTCAGTGGCCTGTTATGTATCTCTTCTGCTTACATCAAGAACTACCTGAAAATTGTTTAGAGTGAAAATACTTTTTTGTGTTTATTGGTTTTTTTTTTTTTATTTAGCCCTTCCATCTGTTCCTTGTAGTTTGCAGCAGTTGTCTTGAAATATTTTCATGTGGCCTAACTGGAAGGCTGTTTTTTTGGGTTTGTTTGGGTTTTTTTGGCAAATTTTCTGTCACTCTTTATGTCAGGAAAATGGGTGAATCCTTTACAAATTAGCTAAATACCTGTGTAATGTTTCTCAGCTGAAGCCTGCAAACCCTCAGATGTACTTACTGAAGTAATTCCTCACTCATTTTTCACATTATCAATTCTATGATAATGATGAAAGGAGGTAAAAGGAAAGAAAGAAAGGAGATATCAGCTGGAAAGAATAATTGGGCTGAAAGCAGGAGGGACTGAGGAAGAAAGCATAAGAAAACTGAGAAGCAGGTGATAGAGAAAAAGGTATATGATAATGAGATATAGAGCCTTGACCTACAATTGAAGGAGAAAAAAACTAAGCCAATGAATTAAAACTTAATTAAGAAGAAGTTATTGCTGAAAATGAAAGCAAATAAAAACCCTTCTTTGTCTGTTCTGTAGGCTTATATTGTTGATAGAATGAACCCTGAGATGTTAATGTAATGTTTTTTATGTGAGTACTCATATGTAAAAGTTTATTGTTCATTACATTTTTAGAAGGCAAGTACAAAAGCTGTTTCAGCGCTTCCTTCTAATTTAATGACTATAAAACAACATTATTTCCACTCCACACCCTCCACCCCCACCCCCCAAAAAAAAAAAAAAAAACCACAAACCAAGTTTAATAACTTCATGAAACCTGCAATTTCTCAAAGAAAATTACTCCTGGGAAAAAGTAAGGTATTCTCAAAATTTTAAATGCATTACTATTTGTATATTTATCAGTAGACTTGAGGCTGAAAATGTTTAATTGAAAAATGTTTAAACATTCTGAAAATGTTTAATTAATGAAAAGAACACAAAATAAATACAGCAACAATAGTAAATTGTGCATAATTCTCATATCTTCTCAGACTGGAATGGGACACCTGCGTGTTACAAAAGAAGGCCTTCGACTGGAAGGGGAATCTGAATTCTTATTCCCTCTTTATGCCAAAGAAATCCATTCAAGAGTGGTAAGTGGGTAATCTTGCAAAAATGCTAAATAAAATGAATGCACTTCTGAATAATTGAACTTTCCATGATTTCTGTCATGTAAGGAAAAACCCCCATATATATATGTATGGTCATGTACATCTGTGTACACATATATTTCTGCACACTTTACAATGGCAGTGTTATGATGCTTTGTCAGAATTAACATTTATCTCTTAGGTATGTGATAAGCAGCTCAAACAGGAATTATAGTTGTTACCATATGTAAGTAATGCTAAAACTTGAGGAGTGTATAAAAAGGTTTTCATTATTTTTCTGAGATTATTTTTTAATATAGGCTTCCCTAGGAAGCTGCTTGTTCTGTTTATTCATCCACTACAGAATCGTTTCAATATCTCTAAAATTAGTTTTAGAGTTTTAGTTTATTTTAAAATTTTCCCAATGGAAAAGTTATGGTTTCTCTAAAATATATAGGTTTTTTCACTTCAAGGACAATGCCATGTGATGTCTGGCATTTTAATACATTTATGTATATAAAATTTACAAGTCTAAATGGAAAGACTTAATGTTTAGTATAGTTCACCTAGACAGAAAAGTTTGTTGTTATTACTAGTGAGGTAAAAAAGGAATACCATACTTGTTAAATATTTATCAAAATTATTAACTTTAAAATGTCACTGAGAATGGGAAAGGTATGGAAGTTGTGGGTTTTGAAAAAGGAAGCGAGAAGAGCATCTGATTTGAATTTTAATTATCCAGGGGAACTCTGAAACTTACTCCAGTGGATTTTTTGTAGGGTGATACCTGCTTCTGGCCAATAAAATAAGTATTTTTCAGAGCTACTGTCCATTGTCCAACATCTCACAAGATAAAGTTTTATGTTTTGTAAATATTACCATCAACCAATGGGACATTTCATTGAATAACTTACTATTCAGTGACAATAAAAGCCAAATATGGCTCTTTCATATCCTCAGACATGTAATTGAGAAGAAATAGCCAGCCATGAGAGTTTTCTGAACCTAGGAAAAAAGTTAGTGTGTATATATATTGCTATAGCAAGAGAAAATGTAAATAAATTTATCAGGATGAGGTTATTAACATGCTTGATTACTAAAATTTAAGCAATGCTAACATATTTTATTTATATTGAGCTTTTCTTTTTCTCTTTCTGCAACAAGTATTTCCAGTTTCAGGAACAGCTCTTAATTAAGACAGTGAAATTCCATTACTATATCTGTATTTCCATTTAGCTTCTTATCCTGTATTCTTTTCTGCCTCACAGGCAGTGAGAAAACTATTTATGTGCTTTGGTGAATTTCCCTTGAGGTTGTTTATCCAGTAAGACATGTAACTTTTTAAGACCACCACAGCTAATGTTTAAGAACTCCCTCTAGTCCCAAGGATCGTTGTGCAGTGTTAAGCTACCATTTGTGCTCTCTTAATATTCCTTTCAGCTCTTAATACGTTTAGTACAATATAGGAAAAAGAGGTGTGGCAGCATCTAATATAAGCTTAGCTGTCCAATGATCCATCATGATCATTAGTAGCATGCATTAATTAGAGCCTTCAGGCTACTGCTTCTCTCTGCCTACTGACAATTCATCAGAGGTTTTTTGTTTGTATCTTTGCTTTTTTAAATATTTGAACTCTCTAAAGGCTTAATTGCCTGCAGCTTGGTCTCCTGAGTTGGCATTTATGTGTTTATTCTCATAACATTACTTATTTGTTAAGCTTTCTTTTCTTAAGTTTGTCTTGGAGAACTGGGCACCTCTCAGTTTTCAAAGCAGCTTTCTCCCTTGCCTTAATAGTTTTCTACTTGCAGTCTCCTAACAGATTCTCTCACCTAATGAGGTCTCCAAAGTGCTAAGAAAATATGTAGCAGAAAATCTACTTGCTGTGCATTGTCTCTGGAGCCTATTAAAAGCTTATGCCTTCATTATGAGTCCAACGCAGAGCTGTGGCCAAGACCATTGCACCTTTGCTAAAACATCTTCATGGAAAGATAAAAGTTGAGCATTTTTAAATATGTTACTAGATTTTAATTTGTCAAAACCACATGTGTGGCAGCAGCAGGTCTAGAATACAGTTTATTCACACTTTCATTTGATATCACAAATTACTGAATTAATTTTTAAATCAACCAGTGGCAATCAAATAAATGTAATAATGATGCCCAGCTTTGTGGGTCATTTAGCAGATTTACTTAAATGTGCTATATTTGCCCAATCCCCAATCTTTGCCGGCCTTCCTTTTCTACTTCATACTAGCTTGCTACCATTAATGTTCATTCTAACACATGGCTTACTTTTTTCCTAAGACTTTTCATTATTTGTATTAATTCTGTGAGCTTTTATGTTTTCCCAATCTAATTTACAAAGTGGGATTAATTTTTTTGCTCACTTAATAACTTATTTTGAAAGAGCCTTTATACCTACTGGTAAGATACTGTTTGTTTTCTTTAAAAAATGTATAAGTTTGAGTCCAAATTGTGTGTTACTTCTATTTCACTACTTTTTAATCAGGTTTGTGATTTTGTTACTAAGTGTTTGTAGTAAAATTCATCACGTAAATAGTCTTTAAAACTCTCAGGCTGTCTCATACTCTAAGCATTAAATTGAGATGAAAATGTGCCTTGGGGCTGTTTTCAGGGGTTAGCCCTTCAAGGTACTACGTGGTCTCTGGTGAGTCCAGAAAAATAACTAGAAGCCATAGCTGTGAAGGAGGCTGATCTTTTAATAATATTCCAGTAGTTAGAAACTCATTTATTTAGGAATGGGTATCTCCACTGAGGTCATGAGCAGGCTGATACTCTGTTCATATCACATAGTTTGGCAACTGATACCGAATCTTTGGCAACTGAGATCTGCATAGGCACTTCCCATCACTTACTGAGTTCCTGGTCTTCAAACACAAAGTGTGCTTTAGTATGAAAGCACCTGTACTGCAAAAAACTTCCTCCCCTTTTTTGAAGTCTGCCAGTGTATTTGCAGTTTGCTGATCCGAATGAGTGATAAGATTTGTGTATCCAGATAATTTTCTGATACTTAATGTCAAGTAGAGACAGTGGCCACTATGATTGCCCTGAAAATCACCTGTACTGTCATCTGTTAAAGTCAGAATTGATCTAGTAAGCCTGCCACTCTCTCCATCACTCACTATTACAGCCTCCTTGCCTGGATAGTCAATGCCAGGTGCCAAAATTAGGCCACAGCCTACAGACTGCATGGACCATTGAGGAAGCAGAATACACAGCCATGTTTCTCACCAAGTTAGTAAAATGGTATGAATTCTCAAAGTGGAGTGCTCACACTTAATTAAATGTCTGTCTTCTAGGAATCTCCGTTATGTACTGACAGGTACTAAGTCTAGTACTAAAGCACCTTTTCCAAAAGATAAAATGTTAGCAGCCATGTTCATTGGTCCAGTAACACAGGTTTTGTTCACCTGACATATTCCCTTTAATTATTTTTCTTACTTTAAATCTGATGTAGTTGTAGTAATCAGAAATGTCTGCCCACATTATTTGGTGAGATCTGTGAATTTTGTTTGTAGCTGCAAAGACATTTCAGTGACTGAGTTGATACCAGCACTAGACTAAATTTTGAAAATGGTTCACAATTCTAGTTGTACTGTCCAACTTACTTTTTTTTTTCCTCCATACTTCAGGACTCATCGCTGCTTCTCCAGTCTACTCACAATGTGACTGTGAATGCTCGCAATTCAAATGGGGAAGTCACAGGCAGATTAAACGTGGGTAAGTCTGAGTGATTATTCCTTGTCCACTGCTTTGGAAACATTGTAATAAATATTTGTATAGAGATTTGTATAAAGCACTAAACACATTATTATTTATTACTATTATAGTCATTTTTGAATGATCCACCTGCCACTTAGTAAAAAGCAGCAGTATGTTTTCAATTTCTCAGTTAAGCAATAATTCTTTAACTATTTGAAGCACTTCTTTATTGCAGAGTTATGCAAGAAAGGGTAACTTTTGCACAGACCTTTTTCCTTGTGTAAATATCTATTGATCGTTGAAAATCAGTTTCTGAGAAAATTCAACACGTAAATGTGGCTGGAGTCTCTCTGTATTTCCTAGTATTCCAGAAACTAATACATTTAAGCAGACATCTCTAGAAAATTCAAGTTCAAAACTCAGACATTTATATCTTGTACTATGTATGGTAGCAGTGAAATACATCAGTTTATTCAGTGAAATCAATAGATCTAGACAGATATAAGTGAGAGATCTTGGCAACAAAAATAAGCTGACCTTACTCTTTAAGTCATATTTTTAAGGCAATTATGGCAACAATATGTGTGAGCTGTGACAAAATTTTTTTTAGCTTTGTTACTATTTTTCAGCCTTTATTTGACATTGGAGAAAAATGTTGCAAGTTATTAATGCATTTCTTACAAGGTCCTCAGGCAGCAAAACATAAATTCCTGCTCGTTTAACTGCAGCCTAACCTGATATGTTTAAGTAGTTTACTAAATTGGGATCCAGCAGAGCATTGATGAGCAACTTTTCAATGCTGTTGAGACTGTGTAACTTCTGTGACAACTCCTGTTTGAAGAATTACCATTTCAATTCATATAATGTTTTGCAAGCTTCACTGTTTTCAAACAAAAGGAAAAAAACTTAAAACATATAAAGGAGCCTGTTATTCCCCTTAAAAATATATAATTATACAATTAATTGCACTTCAGCCTTTAAATGTTTTCAGATTCCGTTTTCTTAATTCAAACATAAAGATATGAATGACTTGTCTTAAGAAAATACTTCTAAATATTTATCAAAAGGAGTGTGATAAATAGGTCTGTGGCATATTCACTATGCACAAACTTTTGCTGAAGAGTTAATATCTTCTACAATTGCCATTATACTGGAATTATGTCTTAAAACTCTAGTTCTCTTATAAATAGGACCAGTTGCAATTGTGAAGGAGTCCTATAGATAAGCTTGGAATTGTTCCAGAGATGGCAATATAATATAGCATCTCTCACAAGATTATAACAAAAATACCTTTTACCTCATGAAAATTGTGATTCAAATGATCTGTTAAAAGAATTTAATAAGTTACTAAGAATTGTTTAAATACCCAGTCTTCAACAGAAGTAATTCACACGAGAGATGAGAAACAAATCTTTACTTGAGTTTCTGTGAAATTCCCCCTATGAAGATAATAGGCACATATTATGCATTCCCTCATGAATCACAGGTATACAAAAAAGACATAAAATGTGAGCAAATTCCAACATGATCATTCTGGCTTTAAAGCTTCTGCATGTCCCTCAGTTCATCTGCATGAAATAACTCTTGGAGGAGTTGTCTGGACACCATTTTTTAAATCAATATGCTGTAGATGTTGAATTTTGTACTGTGACGCATAATTACACTGCATTCAGAAGCCTCACTAAATGCAAATACTTCAAAAACTGCTTGCCAGAAAAATAATACTTTCAAAATAATAGGGATCATAATTTTAAAAAAAACCAACCAGTTACCTTCTTTACTCTTTTTTGACTTCGGTGGCCCCCTGGATGACAAAAATACCCATTTTGTTTTAATTACTTTTTACAAATAAGAAGAAAACAACAAGGCATAAAAGGAAGTAAGAGCTTTATTTAAGAGAAGATACTGCTTTGTTAATATTTCTAGGAGAAATGGGACTTAGAAAGATGTTGGCCAACAGACAGCAAGGAAGGAATCTAAGCAAAGCATAGTTCTGGAAATGTACAGGCTTGATAGTCATAGGGAATTAAGAAAGTTGTGGAGAGAGTTGCTTATAGGCAAGGCAGCAATATGTACAGAACAGATGGTAAATATTCTCACTAGAATAGCTCCTCTCCTTAAAATCATAAGATTGATCCAGGTGTCATTGTTACACCTTGCTTATCAACTTTCAAAATTTAAATATCTAGAACGTTTTTTGGTAATCCAAGAAAGCTGCTAATTATGATCTCCAGGATTTCTGTTCTTAACCACTTCAAAGCCTTACTCAATCCTAGAATAAAAGAGTAATGCAGCACTTGTGATTTATATCCTGAGCAATAATAAATCAACTTCGTGCAAAAAACTTGTCAAACCTTTTATGTATAAAAGAAACACATAGACTATATAGTCAATTATCAAATCATTAAGAGCAACATTGGTATCAAACAGTAAATTATGTTTTACATAAGTAAACATAGGCTTCTATGTACAGCTTATCAGCAGGTGAAAATAATACAGTCAGCTTTTGCAGTTGTGTTCCAGTCATGGATAATAAGTCAGTGAAGAGCTGCATGTTTACAAACGTCTCTGCTGAAAAATAGGACCAGATTTTTAAGATACCTGTCTTTCAAGGATTATGTAAGGAGGTTTCAACCTACAGAAGACCCTAAATTCTCCTTGTAATATGTCTTTTTTAGGAGAAAATTTAAGAAAAAAATTAAAACTTTTTTAAAAAAAGAAAAAAGGAGGTTTCCAAAGTCCTGAAAGGTTTGTGAGAACAGATTCCAGTAGAATGGATTGCTAATCTTCGTCCTAGTTCAGTTTTTTACACCAAGGAATAGTAACATCAGTAGCTTAGGTCAGGGGTTCAGTTTAAAGTGTCTAAAGCTTGTAGGAATTTATTTAGATAGTTGGATTATGAAGCTGTTCTGCATTGTTAAGCATGAAATCAGCTTCACTCAGAAAGCATGGGAATATGGTGGAAGCCAAAATGGCTTATGCAGTGTGAAAACAGAATTACAGTCAAAATTCTGCTTAGAGACTATTTTCATGTCTATAGCATTTATCTGAACAGCTGTTACAATGAAAGTATTTGTGTTATCTCTTTTTTCAGACTGGAACAACATTCTGAGGAAACAGATCAGTGTCAGTACCTCATACATTGCTTTAGCACTGATAATTGCCATTTAGAAAACTACTGCTTTCCAAAGTCAAATCATGTAGGGGTTTCTTATCAGCATTTTAATATTTCTTTTCAAGTGGTGATATTTTTTCGTAAGAGGCATAGGAGGAAGAAAACTGTGCTAAGGAAGCATGATGACTCTAAGAGTTTGATCTTGTTTTCACAGGGAAAACCCTGAAGCCAGTTTCATAAACTTAATGACTTTGTAAAATCATTTAGCTTTTCCTTCTTTATTTTTCCCAGAAGTCTTTCATTAAAAATCCCATTTTTGTCCAAACAAATTCTTTCTTATCTTTAAGATAAAAGGCAGAATGTATTCCTTGAAGATCTTTGTCTGCAAGATGATTATTTGCACAACTTTAATTGCTGTCCAGCTGGGCTATAAGAAAGGAAGATACAACATAGGAGCAATTAATAGAAGGATAAATCTGAAAATTCATTGAAATATTTTTGAGGTGATTAAATATTCCTATGATCAAGAATTTACAGTATTTATTCGAAGGGGATTAAAGTAGGACTGTTTACTTCCTAAAGTATAAAAATTTTAGCTATCAGTGAATCTGATCATATAAAGATATACATGCTAGTTTATTTAAAAGTAAAATTTGGTTAGATAGATAAGATTGAGTGACAGGTGGCTCCTAAAACATATACAGACTTTTTAACCAATTCTCATTTTTAAGAGAATATGCATTAAATGCACATACTTTTTGATATGCATTAAATGCAAATGGTTTTAGTCTTTTGTGAGACCATTGAGTATTTGAATGTATATCATGTTGAAAATAATTAAAACAATTAGCAGAAAACAGTAAGAAATATTCAAGATACATTTAAATGAGAGCTAGCTAAGCAAATGAAAATGCAATTTAATATTTAGACTCAAAGGAAAAGTATTGTCTTCTGAAAAAAAAAGCATTGATGGTCTTAGCACCATATAGAGTAAGGTGTTTACCATGGCAAGATATGCACACCCTGTCCGCAAATATGATAATCTTTATGAAGAAATTCATGATGATGTTCACAGTCAGGCAGACTGACTTAAGCCAGAGTTAAAACATCCTCTAGGAGTAAATTAGATAGTTAATGTGAGGGTGGAGGGGCACTGGAACAGCGTGCCCAGAGAAACTGTAGCTGCTCCATCCCTGGAAGTGTTCAAGGCCAGGCTTGGATGGAGCTTTGAGAAACCTGATGTAGTGGAAGGTGCTCCTTCCCATTTCAGGGGGTTGAAACTACAAATTCTTTAAAGTCACTTTCAACCCAGACCATTCTGTGATTCTATGATAACGTGCATTGCCAACTTGTTAAACATGACAGCATCACATTCAGGGGAAATTTAACCTGGTTCAGGGGACTTGAATCCTATGCTGTCACTTTTCTTCTCACTTAGTCTAGAAGAGGACATAATTCTGCAGAGTTTGGCTCTGAAAAAAAATCCACTAATATTTGGGAAGCAGTTTTTTATTTGGAAAATAACCATTTGGGGGACACTTGTCTCTCATCAGAGAACAATTACTCTCTTTATTCCAATGGGAGGAAATAATTCAAAATAAGTGAAAAAAGGGGAATTATTAAAGGTTTTATAACCTTCTCAATTTTAACAATTTCATTAATTTTCCAATCCCAAATATATTTTGGGTTCAGTGGTACAGTAATCATTACCATAAATAATTGGGTGGCAATTGGAGGGTAATAGTTACTGCTAAAGGTGAGGATAGTTTCTGCACCAAAAATAATTGAATTTTTGGTATTGGTTAATGCTAGATGAATTTGTAAAGGCTAGCTTAAAGCAGCTGAAATTTACTGAGACTATAAGATAGAATTTGGATAATTAATACGTCTAAAATCCTAGTCA